CTGCTCCCGCTGCTGAAGTTTCTAGGTGTGACCTGCGGTGTAAAAGAGCTTTCAGTAGAAGTTTGGTTGAGGTAAGAGTCTGATTGGTCCACGATCAAAGCACAGAAGTCTCAGAGAGTTTCTGACTGGTTTTGAATAAAATACTTGATTTTAAACTCAAACCCACCTGGAGGTGTATCACAAAACAACATTTTAATTTGTAGGATTACAGTAACAGTTCATATAAGTCACATCACATTCATTCAGAAAACACATCTCATAGCAGCTAGTCTATTATAACTGAGCCCATGGTTACAGTAAGGAGGCCAGTGTTTGATGCTCAGTGAGATTTGAACAGTGCTGATTCTAAAGTCTCTCAGGGGCCTAAAAGCAATAATTCATTGGGGGGTCCTCAAACCAGCGTTCATCACCATCATGTCTGCTAGAGTCTTGACGATTACTCCTTTTCTATTTTTTTCTGTTACCATTCTTTTCTATCGGATAATTCCTCTTAATTTTTATTTGGTGACTTTCATTGACAAACTTTGGCCTGCAGCAATGATGCATGCAACATTCAGCAGGGCAAGGAGAGTGAGTGCTGTTAGACGAGGCCCCCAAAGGGAGGTTTCCTACTGTCATTGCAATATTAGCACATTTGGTCCACTGCTTTGGTTTAAGTTTGTGAGCCCTCAGGGGCCCCCAAGCAGTTGCCTACTTTGCCTGTTGAAAGCAACGCCTCTGGATAGTATTTCTAAGCAGTGTGATTATACAACCGTCCTGTCTGCCTGAACTTTATCTGAGACTCCAGAAGAACACCTGCTGCTCATGGGAAACACATTTTCACTGACTCTCCCCTAAAAGTGATAATCAGCAAACTTTCCCAGGCTCGGCAGCAAACATGTCCTTGACTCTCATCATGCTGGTACATGGCTCTCTATAATAAACACATCTAGGTACATTCATTAGGCCAAAGCTTCCTTCAACAATATTTGACCAAATTTCTGTATTTGAACTTTCACTTCTAATACAACCTGCCACTTACTGCACAACATGTCTGAATGTCTTGTGTGTGTTTTTTTTGGATTGGCCGTTAATGGGTGTGTTCGTTTATTTTTATACTTACTGTAAACTTCAAATCAAAGCCCAACCCCATTTGAGGCCCAGTTCTCAGATCTTTCCAATCTTTGCTGTGCACCAGTTGTGTTTAAAAAAGAATGAAATGCCTGTCTTGTGTTGACGCTGTCCCAAATAAAGGAACAGTCATTCAATAGACTTAAACAAATGAAAACCCGAGCTACTAATTGAAGTTTTACGGTACTTGTAAATAACTGTAAATGCACTTTGTTTTTATTCATTCTCATGTATTCTAATTTGTATTTGTACTCAATTGCACACTTTTTTTTCTTGTCTTTTTACTGATGAAAACTTGGATTTCCCCTTTAAAGATCAATAAAGGAGTATTTTGTCTTATTTGCTCATCAGTTACAGGCATTTTCAGTATTCACTCATTGTGCTCTCTTCCATACATGCACACAGTCAATGTATCCTACATTAAAGGTTCCCCCTTTCTCCGAAATAAAACACTGAAAAACTAAATAACACTGTTTCAGTCGCTCTACAGAAACATGCTTAAACGCTCATTATATATCAGTGTAGTCAAGGAAGTTATTAATGTGCATTGTGTGTTAAAATTCCCCATATAGTCCAGTATGCAGAAATCAATGGTAGTTTGACAGCACAGATTTGTTTGGAGCTGTTAAAAGATACATGGTCAACTTTTTGAATGTTAACCTGAAAGCTTGAGGCCCACACCAAGGGGATCTGCTGGATCCGTAATGGGGGGACTGTCTCCTTAGAAGGAAGGGTTCAGAATATCAGCACAAAGTTGTTCTGTGTGATGAACTCTGTGTGTGCCAACGAAGATGTGTATCCTGACCTTCCCTTCAGAACAGAAATAGCACCTACTGGGCAGGAGGAGTCACTGAATGGTTTCATTTAAAAAATCTTTGAGTGACTCAGACTGGATTTGGCAGTCTTCACAACTTAACCCACTGAAAGAGGCACACACCCCTAACCCTGATCTTTACCTTCATTTGAAAGATTTTGGACTGACGTGTATCGAAACCTTAAAAACACCGCATGGGAGTTTCTGAGACTTGTTCTGGGTCTCATGTGATACCAGGTGCTGGATGGGCACTGTGTGTGCTCTTGGTCTGCACTCTGCAGGTGCTATAAAGGGTAACTGGCCACCTGAGGGTCCAGGGGTGTGGGCAGGTTAGAGTCCAGTCTGCGGCTGCACAACTCAGGGTGGTTTCTATCACGCTATCGTGCCTCTCTCTGGGTGACACTTTTGTATTAAGTCCAGAGGGGAAGTAACAGATATAATAATATAATTATAGATTTTGACAGTTTCTTCCCCTCTGCTGCCAGCTTCAACGCCCCGTCTATTTTTGCTTTAGTCCTTTGCTGAATGTTTTGCACCAGAACACCAAATATGAATTCCTCGTATGTGTGAATGCACTTGGCAATAAAAAACTGATTCTGATTCTGATTCTGATTCTGATTCTGATTCTGATTCTGATTCTGATTCTGATTCTGATTCTGATTCTGATAACATTTATGTCGATCCTGTTTCTTTGGTTATATTTGTTTATCCTTCAATTTCATTGACTGCACCATACAACACCAACACTCAAGCACATCACACAACACTGACTAGTTTGAATCTGTGCTTCAATTGAATACATTTTGGTTGCTTGATTGAATGTTTAAAGCATTCTTTTGTAATTGTGTGTCATGGTGTGTCTCCCGTCATGTCTTAATGACTGATGTACCGATGCCAAAGCACACTGAAGCTGTTCTGGCAGCATGCAGCGGGCAAAAGACCGACACTACATTCATGAATCTCCAAGTGGCAACGAGATCAACGTGTGTTGCAATTCTCTCTCGTCTAAATATAAAGTCTTCTGGGAAACTGTGTCTGCAATCATTTTTTATGGTTAATTTAAATGTGGTTTTCTATGGAAAAAATAACTTTTTAATTGTACAGCTCAAGACTGATGCTGTAGTTTCCACACTGTTCATATCAGTAAGGAAAGTAGATGCACTGTCTTCAAGTAACCACTAGAGGGTAGCGATCAGCTGTATACAATGTTACAGGTCTTCCCTGAAATAAAGCTCCACCACAGCCTGTGATGAACTCCAAATGATCTACTGCAGCCTTTTCTTATACAGCTCTGTGAACACACAGTAATGATGATAATGTTTCGATAATGTTTTTTTTGTTTGTTTTTTTTACAGTGTTAAGTGTCATTGTTACACAGGAATTAAAATTAGGTAACATTTTTCCCCCTACTCTTCCACTTGATGAAAGTCACAATTTATATTATTATCATTATCAATAAGAACATTTAGACTTCTAAATCAGTTAAAGTGTACTCCCATACCAGACTTAGCTTTCCCTGAAGACATAGACCTGATTAAAGATCGGCCTGAAAATAGTCTACAGAAAGAGCATATTTTAATCTATGAGGCCCGGGAGACTAAAATGAAAAAGAAAGCTAATTTTCTCCTCATATGGATTTTGGTTTATGTTTTCTGTTTAGGGTTAATTTTCACCCAGAGAAATCACAGCAGACTCTGAGCTGAGCACTTGGAGGAGCACTTGGAATCAAAACACTTCTTTGGTTTGACTCTGGGGTGTAAGAATTGAAAGTTTGCAGTTTTTAGTTTTCAGTAAAGGCTTTCTGAAAACGAATATGGCCCTTGTAGGGACGTTAGCAAAAGAGGCTTATGTAAAAGAAAAGTGGAGAGACCAATAAATTAGTTTTACATTCTAAAGTTCAATCATGTCTCAAAGGAGGAAGTGTGTTTTGTGAGTAAAAACAGTCCTAAGAAAATATCTGTTGTCTTCAGCAGTGATTCCCACAGTGGGGCCCGGAGGAATTGACAGTGGTGGGGGAGGGGCAAGGTTAAATAGAAACAATGCAAAGCATGACAAATCCCTTCAGGTATTTTAGTCTGACAATGAATCTAAAGCAGACGTCACACAAAAATAAAACAACACACATATGAAAACAAAGGAAACTTGACAAGTCTTATCTTGCCCTCAGCAACTTTAATTGCTTCCTTTTTAAAATTAATTACAAAAAAAATTGTTTAAGGCTTAAAGACTAGACACTAACACATAAATGGAAATTCTTGCATGTATTGGTGAATATTGCAGATATGTTTAATGTGCAGAATCAGAATCAGCTTTATTGGCCAGGTATGCTTACACACACAAGGAATTTAACTTTGGTGAACTGAACATTCTCAAAAGTACAACATTAAATATCAACAATAAACAAATGAGCAAAGAATAATATGTACAAGACTAAATAAGGTGAGTAGTGCAAAAGATGCTGAAGTAAACATCATGATAATACAAAATGTAGTTAGGCTATGTGACAGGTTGGGTCATTTACATAAGGTAGAGTTTTACAGAAGGCTATTTGCATTAAAGGTGTGAATAAATTAAAGATTGATCCCCCATGGGGGAAATTTTTGTGTTACAACAGCTCTAGAAAACAGGAAGCAGGAATATAATTATTAAAAATAACAAGAAGTTAAAAATCAAACATATTTACATCCGTTAAATAAAGGGTAAAAAAATACAATAATAGAATAATACAAGGTATTTACACCTCTAGAGTTATTGTTATTAAAATTAAAAACACACAGTGTGTAGCATTATTCATATGAGTTGATAATTAAATTAAATTATATATATATAGAATATACATTCACAGGGATTGCGATAAAAAAATACATTTAACCAATTTTCCTATTATTTTCTCATTATTCATCCAATCTGCTTTCTCTTTATCGATAAAATGTCACTCGAAAACCCGTGTTTCCACAAAGCGACATCGTGTTGAGCACTTGAACGCAGCATCAGGCCGACCTGTCAATCAACGTGTCCGCGTTGGTCACCTGACCAAAACTCCAGGTCACGTGACTCGTATTCCATCCTCGCCATTTTGCAATGTGGGAGAGAGAGAGAGGGAGGCCACTTCTTTTTTATGGCTAACGAGTAAAACAAAGCAGTTTTTTATGTGTTGAGGACAAAGAGCGTCGCGCTTTAAACCCTCAGTGAGTATGTTTGTTATTAAACTCGCTCCTCCGTCACTCATTTACCGAAACGATGATTCAGCTGTTCTTTTAAATTCATGTGAGCAACTGCTAGCTCTGTGTGAGACTCGTGTGTGTGTGTGTGTGTGTGTGTGTGTGTGTGTGTGTGTGTGTGTGTGTGTGTGTGTGTGTGTGTGTGTGTGTGTGTGTGTGTGTGTGTGTGTGTGTGTGTGTGTTTGCATAGCAGGCTGTGAAGCTAACAGTGTGTCTTTCACTTTAAGTTCATTTTCTTGTGTGTGTGTGTGTGTGTGTGTGTGTGTGTGTGTGTGTGTGTGTGTGTGTGTGTGTGTGTGTGTGTGTGTGTGTGTGTGTGTGTGTGTTTTCATAGCATAGCAGGCTGTGAAGCTAACAGTGTGTCTTTCACTTTAAGTTCATTTTCTTGTCTCCATGGTAACGTCTCTTTATTGTTTTAACTGCATCTGTGTGTGTGTGTGTGTGTGTGTGTGTGTGTGAGAGTGTGTGTGTGTGTGTGTGTGTGTGTGTGTGTGTGTGTGTGAGTGTGTGTGTGTGTGTGTGTGTGTGTGTTATTTTTAGCCCCTGACAGAGCTGGAGGGTCTCACTCCAGCTCTGTTTAAATAACACACTCTCACATTATGTGAGTGACAGACAGACGTGACCGTGGTGGATTGTTTGAGTTCCCGTTTAAACAATCCCATTTTCAATAAAACAACCATAACTGTTTTATTATTTATAGCTACGCTGTGCTTGTTACCATGGAAACTAAGCAGGGTTACAGCCAGTGCTTCTTGCGTTTATTTGGCTGCCCACTCTCCATGCATGCCTCCCCACTATTGTTGAAACACACGGTCCCACGAATGCAGAAGTGGGAGAAATGAGGAAGGTTGAATTGTGGTCAGAAAAGTGAGAACTAGGGAAGTGTTATGGATTCTTAAAACCACAGGATTTGTGAGCTGTTTCCCCTCAAGCTTAGTTTGTAAACACAAGCACATGGTGCTCCTGTCTTGAAGGCTTTGTGTTGACCAGCAGAGGCGGGTCTTATCATGAACCAGTTAAGCTATTACCCCTTATCACGGGGGTCCTTTGGGCTGCTTCCTTTCCTGCTAAACAGTGATCCTTTCACTCGACTCTGGGTAAACAGTGCACTTCAAAATAGAAGCATGCCTAATCATAACACTTATTTTTGGTAGAGAAGTGGCTCCATTGTTTCATTTTTCAACGTCTAAAAGTGTTGTATTCTTTGTGTGTTCTACATACCAATATAAACTCTGACCTGATGATAACATCGGTTGAAAAGTCTTCGATGCAGAAAGCCAGATTATCTCAATCCTCTCTTTTTAACACTAATACATACAAAGGGCTAAACTGTTAATCGCACGCTGAGCCCTCAGATTAAAGACATTTATACGAGTACAAGTTTCCGTTCCTGTAAAAGGCCTCACTTTATTAGCATGTGTTTTGCAAACTTTTCTCCTGTTTCCAACAGCGTTAGCTTTGTGTGCAGTATGGAAACAAAAGTTCTTTTTTGGGCTCGTGACCTTTTTTGGCCTCGTGACCCCCGCTGGGGACCCCAGACATCCAAAAACACATTCTGCATATTGTTTAAATGAATTTGTTTTCAGTCATGTTATAGTTTTTCTACTGTGTTAGAAGTTATTTTTTCTCATATAGTGCTGGCCTAAGTTAAAATATACTTAAAATTCGTATTAATTAAATCATGAGTGAAAGATTGAAATGTTATTGCCCATATTTAAGCCTCTTGAAACTCGCTGCATTTGTTTGGAATAACTTTATAACTGTATTTTTCCATTTATCTCGCAGAGAGAAAAGATATCACAATTCACTTTCCCATTATAGTTCAGCCCTATTATTCAGATAAACATTACTGATTGCTTACAGCACAGAGATAAAAAATAATTCCCAGTAAAATATTTATTTAAAAACCTTTAAATCCAGGGATAGATGCATGTGTCATCATGCTGGTCTGATAAATCATGTTGCATGATACATCAACTGAGAGCATACATCGTCCTCGACATGTTTAAGGACACAAATCTCCCCCTGCTTTATTTAAACAGTCTGATGTATCACCCATTGTGAATCTCTGCTGTGGAAAACTTGAAAAGATAAAGTCTGTTTCTTCAGCGTGCCCGTGTAATAATTTGTCTGACACCTACCTGTGACAGCAGCGTAATGCATTAGAAGTTTCTGTATAGTAAAGTTCATCTCGTCACTAATGGTCTTGTTTGCGTTTCCAAGACATAAATCCACCAGAATTGATTTGATTCTATTTTATAAACCAGTTAAAACTACTCAAAGAAAATCTAGACAGGGGACAAAGTGGAAAATATTAGGAACCAGAGACGGATATTCTTTAAAATCAATGTGAATTAAACTGTTCCATATTGTTTTGTTGTACCATAAGCATGTGGCTAAGCTGGGTTAAAGTTGATGCCACTCAGCTTTTTTTTATCAATGCTTAAACTGTAATTATTAATGTATGAGTTGAAGTGTTGGTGATGGTTTGAATTCTGATTTAAAGGCACATTGTAGACAAAACTATCGTGGAGCATTTAGGCATTGTTTTCAGATATACTTATTTCTGTTTTAGAATAGTGTTCCTATTACTGCATATAGTTAACACTCATTTCTGTGTTTCCTCTCTCTGCTAGGTCATGGAGGAGATCAGCAATGTGGCTGTACTCGTCACACACTCCTCCTCTGCCTCCTCTTCGTCCTCCACTGCCTCAGCACTGGGACACGTCCCCCAAACTCAGTCCCAGCAGGCAGTAGAGGAGGACGCCTCCCACAGCTTTCAGCAGAAACAAGCTGCAGACTCTCTCATCCAGGTCATCGAGAAGCTCAGCAAAATTGTCGAGAAGCGTCCCCAGCGTCGCTGCACCTTGGCGGGACAGAAAAGGGCGTTTCAACATGCCCTCGCTGCGGGGGGGGAGGGTGGTGGTGGGGAGAGGACGAGAGGAAGCAGAGCAGACTCTCCCTTTAGAAAAATAAAGAGGAACGTTAAGGAGGAGGAAAATGTAGTGGATGCTAGATTAGATGGCAGTGTAGATGACGGCGCTCTTGGTTCTACTTTGTCAGGGGATGATAACAACAACAACATCGGCTCCATGGTAACAGAGGTCGCTGAGAACCCCGTCAGCAGCGACCACAAGCGGACTGTGACGTGCTACCAGTGCAGCCTGTGCCCCTATCTCTCCCAAACGCTGCCCCTGCTGAAGGAGCACCTAAGCAGCACAATGAGCAGCACAGCGACCTCATCCTCATGTGCTCCGAGTGTCGCTTCACCTCCAGAGACCAGAGGCAGCTGGAGCAACATGTCAGCATGCACTTCGACAACGGCGGCAACCTGAACACGAGTCATTGTGATTCCTACAGCGAGGACAAGGAAGAGGTTTTAAGAAAGCAGGAGGGAGACTGGACTGGGAGCAGCATCGAAACAGAGTTCATCAAAAGCTCAGCAGAGGAATCCAAAGAGCTACCACAGAAGAAGAAGTGGTACAGCTACGAGGAGTATGGGTTGTACCGCTGCTTGATCTGCAGCTATGTGTGCAGCCAGCAGCGGATGCTCAAGACCCATGCCTGGAAGCACGCCGGCCTGGTGGACTGCTCTTACCCCATCTTTGAGGATGAGAAGAGGCTCCAGCAAAGAGAGAGGCCCAGGCTGCCGCCAACACTATATCAAACAGAGAGGAGATAGTTGTTCTGTCCCCGGTTCTTCAGGAGAAAAGCATGCCCACTGCCTTCAAGCTCCAGCTCTTTTCTGCTCCAGTGGCTCTTGAGAACAACCAGGACGTGTTGACTAATCCCGTTTCTGATCTGAGTAAAAGTCCAAAGACAGAGGAAGAGGAGAGTGTGTACCCTCTCAAAGACCTGACATCCGAGGAGCCCCTGGTGGAGGTGCAGGTAACGACAGAGGCTGAGATGGAAGTTGTTAATCACCATGATAACAATTCTACCACGGACAGTTTACTGTCATCCGCTCAGAAGATTATCAACAGCAGTCCAAACAGCGCCGGCCATATCAACGTGATAGTCGAACGCCTTCCTTCAGCCGAGGATTCAGTCATGGCATCTAACCCTCTTCTACTCAACCCAGATGTGGACAGGGACAAAAGCTTATTGGCTGCAGAGGAGGAAGAGCAGCACCACGGTGTACCTGTAAAGGAAGAGGTGGAGATTGGCTTCAGCGCCGGTAGTGACACTGACATCCAGCAATACGGAGCTGATATTACACCTCTGTCCCTAAGAGCAGCGATTCTCCTCGGGATGAAAACATCCCACCAGCTGGTCGCAAGAGGACCCACTCTGAGTCTCTCCGGCTGCACTCTCTGGCTGCCGAGGCCCTGGTTGCTATGCCCATGAGGACCCCCGAGCTCCCCACCTCCAGTGCCAAAGTCAATCTGAAAAGTATCACAACCCAGACACAGTGCCAGAAACTCTTAGAGGTGACCGCAGACGGACCCAAGACATCTGACATAGGGACGACAGCGGCTCTGTTGGACCTGAAGCTGCACAGCAAAGGAAGAGAAGATGATTTGGGGTCCCTCTGTCTGGGAGAGGGAGACGAGGAGAGCCCTGCAGCCAAAGCTGGCATCAGCCTGTCGCTTCTTACCGTCATCGAGAGACTAAGAGAGCGCTCAGACCAGAACGCCTCGATGAGGACATATTGAAAGAGCTTCAGGACAATGCGCAATTCCAAAATGGAGATGTGAGCGGTGTGGTGTCAGGAGCTGCGGCTGCGGGTTACATCACCATCCCTGGAATGGACAGCTTAGTTTCTTCGTCCGATGGCGGTCTGGTGGACTACTTCCCCGGCAGTGAAAGGCCGTATCGGTGTCGCCTGTGTCACTACAGCAGCGGCAATAAGGGCTACATTAAGCAGCACCTACGGGTGCACAGGCAGAGGCAGCCGTATCAGTGTCCCATCTGTGAGCACATCGCCTCGGACAGTAAGGACCTGGAGAGTCACATGATCCACCACTGCAAGACCAGGATGTATCAGTGCAAGCTGTGCCCAGAAGCTTTCCACTACAAGGTGAGGAGATGTTAATGCTAACACGTAGCATTTTAACTCCAAAGAATAATCATGTTCAGAGTTTGAGAATCTGTTGTGTGTAGCTGCCAACAAGCAACGCAGCACGAAGGAGCGTCATTTTTACCCTGACATCCTGTGTCTGTTCTCCTCTCTGTTGCTGGTGTAGACAGACGAGGAGGGAGAGGGCTCCACAAGGCGCTGTCACTCACTTTTCTCACTCTACAGAGCTTGTTAGCTTGTTTTACAAAGTGGATATAACGGTGCATTTATACACATTTAGACATTTTTATGCTGATGCTCTAGAAAATATAACATCAGCTGTGCACTTTTTTCATGTAGCATTGGGTAACAGTTTCTCCTGCACCAACATATTTAGCTATGTTTACATTGTGCCTGGTTAGTTCAAATGAAGAAAAATAAAAAGCAGAAACAGAACAAGAATGCTCAACATAAACACCCAAACTTGTAAAACAGCCCCAGACAGATTGATTTTGTAATAGGCTGCAGAGGGGTTATTTAATTTAAACTTTTGAAAGAAAGGATACAAAAGAAAATTGTAACATGCCGATTACTCTACTGTTCACTTCTCTCTCTTCCTGACATACATTAGTAGTGAAGTAGAAGAAAAGTCTTGCGCTTCAGTCGATTCCTCAATGGAGCTCGGTGCTCTCAGAGAGGTGGATACATTCTTCAAGTCAAAGACAAAGCTCGAGCACACGAATCACTTGAGGCAAGTTTAATAAAGGTGCAAAGGAATGACGTTTAGACGCACTGCATCTTCCTCTGAGTCAAACAGTACAGGCACAGATTTGAAAAAGTGAAATACACACCTGCTCTCAGTGTATCATCACTCATTGGACTGACTGAAACTGGACCTTTTAAAATACATATCAACGCGTTTGTCCGACTGAGTCAGATTTCTCAAAGTCGGACTAACATCCTTAGATGATGCTGTTAGGGTTCCATTTACTCTTGCATGTATACACCTCAATCAGCCCCATGATGCCCTCGGTGTTCTGAGCCTGCTCCACAGCTCCCGCGCCAGGCTTTGACCCTGGAGTTCAACAGCATACATATAAACATTCTGTCATGCATATCTTTAACCAGTGGGGGGCCTAATCCAAATAAATGACTGGGGTATTGTATTCACATCATGAGCCAATAACAGACATTTAAATCTGTTTGCTAGAAAATTGTTTAATCAAAATTTCTTAATACACTTCAACTCAACGATATAAACTCTGCATCAGCTCTCATTAGACATATATGTCCAATGAGAGCTGATGCAGAGTTTATTCTGGGGTGAGATTCGTATAGGCAATTGCTCATAATAAGCTGTGAAAATGTGTATAACTTATATTCTGATACAGTTTTTGAGTCAAAGAGTAAAAAAATGAGTTTACTCTTAAAAAGGCTGAGTTTATTCTTGCGTGTGAAGTCAAAGACGAGACATAAAAGTTGAAGGAGTGTGGTGCAGCGCTGCAGAGAAAGTTTGCTTCAGTGTGATGAAACAGGCAGAGGAGAAAACTATTGATTATTCTGCTATCATGGGACTCCAGTGCCGATCTGCAGCCCAGATTATTCATCCTTCATCAAGTTCATCGTGTTATCCCCCAGATTTGGAAGTTAGTTCTGAGAAAGTTTGTAGCTGTACGGGGTGAAGGCTGGCCCGCCAATATGATACTGTATCAGATCCTGAAGTGAGGATCAGTGGGGTAGAGGAAAAACTATCAGTGCACGTCAATCACTTTTCATTCTCTCCTGAGAGTATTTCTTCCAGTTTGAAACAAAGAGTTTTGTATTCTTTAAATGTGTTTTACTCAATAGAATAAATAGAATTCACATTTTCCAATAAATTAACAGCCTAAGGCCGTGTGTCAACCTTGCATTTTGTTCTGAGAGCCAGCGTCTTTTTACATTTGTTTTCAATAAGTAGAAAGTGTCTGCAGCAGCAGGCGGCCTGCCTTGAGAGAAAAAGCTCAGCACTCCACCTTTTCTGTGTCTGCTCCAAGCTCTCACGTTGAAAATCTTTAAACTTTCAAAAAGGTGCCGTTGACGTCACCGCCGCTCTTTTCAAAATAGAAGATATTTCTACGTATTATTACCTCCTATGGGTCCTGTTTTTTGTTGCCACTTTCTCTTTGCGCCGTGTCTGCTGGGAAAAAAGACCTCAAATATAAAACATACAGTAATAAAGCAACGGAGCAGTGTCGGTCATACAGCAGACGTTGTCAACAGACTGTTGTCATGGAGACAGGACGGATGTGCAGAACACAGCCAGCGCTTTTCTGCCCAGTAAAAAAACACTAGATGGACACGGGGCCTTAATTACTCAGATTTAGTAGATCATATAAAACAGAGTAGAAAAACTTCAGGTTACTTTTATTATTTTGCTTGCAAGTCCAAAGTGGCAGAAAAGATCAAAGTAAGCTGCCTTGTTGAATTGAATATATATGTGTGTGTGTGTGTGTGTGTGTGTTTTCATTTCTTAGAGTCAGTTAAGAAGTCATGAAAGGGAACATCACAGCTTCAGCAGCGACATCGCAGTTCTCACACCCGTTAACGACGCTGTGGCCGCGGTGGAGGACGCCGACCGGGTCACAGACGAAGGTAAGAGATGTCTTTAAAGCTTCTTTGTGTCTTTAGATTTAAAGATAGACCAATACTTAAACAGCTAGCTGACATGTCGTCATCAGATTACCACATGATCCTGACGCTCTTTTTTCATCTTTTACAGAATGTGGTTTACAGAAGATGTATAAATGTGACGTGTGCGACTACACCAGCTCTACGTATGTCGGGGTGAGGAACCACCGGCGGATCCATAACTCTGACAAACCTTATCGGTGAGTTGTTAAAATGTACCACTAACATCTACAGGTGCATTCACACCTGAGCTGATTGGTCCGTTTGAAACGACCAAACGACGTCTGGTGCGCTTTGTCGGATAGTTGGTTTGGTTTGGGGTGGTGTGAATGCTCAAATGACCAAAGAACCGAACTCTGGTCGGCTTAAAAACGCGGTCTCGGTTTGCTTCCAAGTTCACCAGAGTTCGGTTCGCTGTAGGTGAGAACGCCACCAAAACAAAACAATGGAGTGAACCGAGAAGCAGTGCATTGTGGGGTGAAATTGGCCGTCTGTAAACGATTTCAAATAGTTTTGACGAGCGTGGCTAACGTTAGCATTGCTAACAACACCAGCCTTAAAGTGTATTTACACATTGCTCCGGTCTGGATATGCCAGTTAAACCTGTCACAGCCGACAGATGAGGTCTTTATCTCCATTTTATACATCAAAATACTGACAAACTGCACAGCGCTACGGGACGCTGCAGGATCTTCCACTGTCCTGTTGTTTACTTCAGGGTCAGAGCTACAGCCCCAACTAGTGGCGGGTTGCTACAGTACATAACATCTGACAGGCTTTTGGTCACTTGACAGAGTGCAGTGTGAAAGCAAACCGAACCAAATAAAAAATGCAACACTGTTCAGCTCTGAGTCGCACCGAGTCCACCAGACTTCATATGTGAAAGCGACCCAAATGTCACGATGAGAACATGGCCTAAAGTTTGTAGGTCTACAATGATACTAATTTATTTATTTTTTTCTGACAAAAGCTTGTTAAAGAAAACAGTTGGTATTGCCTTTCTTTCATGTCTATATCCATTCAAACCTTTATTTATTCTCAAAAGGACATCGTTGTTTTCCTCATTTCCATTTCTTTACAAGCACCTTTAATACCATTTAAAAAAAACAACAACAAACCCTTATAATCAATTACAAAACCAAAGCTGAACAATTCAGACCAGTCTTTCTCTAGTGTGCTGGTTCCTGAGTGTCGTCCCTGTCGTTTCAGAACTGTGCATTAGATGGCAGTATATTCCTGTGTGTGCTCTGAGCAGCTCAGCGATCTCTCTCTCTCTGTGTCTCTCTTCTCCTCACTTAGCCTGTGTGTTAACACAACACTGCCATGAGGTGTGAACTCATCCAGCTGTTCAACTCAGCTTTCTTAACAGTATGCTCTCAGATCAGATGGACTAAAATAAACACCTGACATTTCTAATATGGAAAGGTCAAGTGGCTTTTAACTGCATGTTTTTGCCAGCAGTACTGTGTACTGGCAAAAGAACCGTCAGGAGATGTGATTGTTTCAGAAATGTATTTGTGGACAGATGACTGTGGCCACAAAGAAAATGGTTAAAGATGAAGTGTCTTAGTACTCGACCCGCTTTTGAAGATCTCTGTGTGGTCTCGAAATCGAAAGCATTTTTACTCGGTCTCTGACTGGACGGATTTCAGATTTTAAATCAAGACCACCACTGATCGGCTATTTCCCCACGTCATTACTTTGATTAGAAGGAAAAACGCTTCTTTCTTAAAGAACAATTAACTTTAATACATCATAATTAGATTTGTATCCACCGGGTTACGGCTGCCACCTTCCTGTCTCCCCGCCGCCTGCACACAAGATGATGATTTTTTTATTGATATTTATGGTCTCGGTCTCGGAGCACTCTGGTCTCAGGCATGTCTTGGTCTCGGTTAGTGTGGTCTTGACTACAACACTTCTATAAATGCCTCCACTTAGCAAATACCTTCTTTTTTCCGATGAACATAAAGTGTCTGATTATTTTAAACGGCATCATGTGCTTACAATGTCTGGCAGTTTAACGATGTGGTAACATTCAGAATAAACTCTGAATCATGTGTTATTTAAAGTCTACATGAACAACAGTTAGGCCTTCAGGTGTCTTTGAACTAAAAACAAAGCCTCTGGAGGAAAAAGTGTGATTGTTGGCTCCTAGTGAGGTGCAGAAGGATGAAGACACCATTACTGCTTTCCACTGTTTCACTGGCAGTCTAATTTGTTAACACTTTAGATTAAAAGCTTTAAAGTTAGCACTTCACCCGTGTATTCATTGTGTTGCCTTCACATCGGATTTACAGAGCCAACAGGATAAAAATATACCAGCGCACAGCTGGGAGAGGCAAACGGCAACATAAAACACTCATGTAATACTTAATAAGACATTACAATGTGTAGTTAGTGGAATTAGAGCCAATGGCCTCAGTAGGCCTTCTATGGAAACACCGATCACTCGCTTAGCACTTCAAACGTGAATGACTTAACAAAAGGACAAATGTAAAAACTGCTGACTGGACAAATGCTCATACTTATCCATCTGTTACAGCTGCTGAGTAGGTAAAGAGTGCAGAATTACACATCTCAAAAAAAGTAGAGGGACTAAAGCTTGACTGATATTCATTCCTCTCTATCACTGAAATGGAATAGCTTAACATCTCTTTAAAGATCCCGCTGCGTTGTACCGTCTGTGCTGTGGATTTGATACGGTCTTTACAGTCCAGAGATCATTCTTCTCATATATAAGGCTTTCACACTAGTGGAAATCTCCTGAAAAACATCCACAGGAGCAGCTGAACGCAAACAGCCACATTATTGGCTCAGACTTCACCTGGAGTTTCTCCTGTTTTCCGCAGCAAGTCCGAGTGAGCTGATGTGAGAATGCAGCAGGATATTCTCTGGAGAATTCAGCAATGTCATGTCATTCCGTTGGCCTACACGTCCTCTGTTGCTTCATCCGCTGCTTCTGCATTGTTTTTTTAAGGTCACGTCTGACCTCAGGAGACCCCCCCCCCCCCCTCCTGTCTGACAGGGATAGTCTCTCGCTGTGAGGTGCATATGAAAACAGTCAGGTCAGGAGACTATCTGGAGCAGTCCTCCTGAAATGATCTAGATATTTTCAGGAGTGCATATGTGGATACAGGTGGTAATGATCACAATCCTTTTGCGTGGTGATCACGTTGGAAAGGTAATGGTGTTCTTTTAGTTTCATCGTCACAGTTTAGTCAGATTTGAAAAGAGAGGGTGTATCATTTGCAGTTTAAAGACAGCTAGTTTCACTTGACCTGCTTTGTTGTCATGGTAGTTGCTCTCAAACATCTTCACCATATGGCACCATTAATTGTTGATATCTTCTCATTAAGCTGGCAACTACAATGTTTAAATGTCACAGTACAAGAATGTTATATTTAATGTGAGCGGGCGAATAATTCAGCATCATTATCTTCACAGTAATGCCTGGTTCCCTTAGTCCACATTAAATATTTCTCTTTATTGAGAAAAATGTTCTCCAAGACTTTTCTTCAGTAAAGAGTCTTTTTGGTATTCCTGCCTCAGTAACCCTCACATCATGAAGACGTGCAATCCTTTGTTTTGTCTGCAACTTTATTTGAATGCAGAGCAAGTGGCCGCAAGTTTAGTCTGCGGACCTTGAACAGCATTCGCCTCTAAACAACTACAAAGCCAGTTTCATCTTCCAACCGCAACATCCACAGAGCTACAAGGAAGAAGAAAATGTGATTTGTTCTATTCTTAAAGTGGCAATTTCTCAAAATTGAAGGGTTTGTTGAAGGGAATTTTTTTTTTGCTGTAAATCCCTTTTCCTCGCTCCAGGCTGCAGCACAAAGAAGCTACAGAAGTTCAAGAGGCAGCTTGTTAAAGTAGCCACTTGCTCTCCATGTTCCTCTCTTCTCAACGTCTTCTTCCTTTTTTCCCGCACTGCCAGGTGTTGTAGCTGTGATTTTGCCACCACCAACATGAACAGTTTGAAGAGCCACATGAGGAGGCACCCTCAGGAGCACCAGGCTGTGCAGCTACTGGAGCAGTACAGGTGAGATAGATCAAACATGCATCCACTGCAGAGAGGACTGATGACAGTGAGAGCGGTGAGCATGAAGCGCTGCACCTTTACAAAGACGCCGGGGGTTATCGTCTGTGCTGGTCTGACCATGTTGATGCTTCTGGTGCCAGCCTGGAGACTTGAGCAATGAGCTTCTGATTGCACTGTTAGAGGTTGGCGGGTGGAGGAGGTGAATGGGGGTGAATACTCAGCCCTCCTTCAAATGTTAAATATCCTCAACCCCGAGACAGACTCTGATTGCTGATTTCCACTTCACTGAATACTGATGCTGTATTATACAGTCATCAGTACCTGCATAGCTCGAGAGCCCATGTTTCTGTATTGAAGGAAACACACGGACAGCGCTATTGAGTTTCTGTTAAATGGGAACTCAACGTCATCTGTCCGTGCACTTTCATAAGAGAGTCCGATTTAAAAGAGACATTTTCACACTGAAGCATCAGGGGAAACTTTCCTAAGTCTGGGAATCACAGGGTAACCAACAATACATTACTAAACAATAAGCAATGCATGGGCAACGATTACGATAATATCATGAGACAGCATTCTGGGATAATTGATACACATCAAGTAGGTCTTCATTCCTTATTATTTGTAGTTTCAAATTTACAGTCTCAGATTGTATTATTATCATTAACAGTTTCCAACACATTACAGTTTCCAATGCCTTCATCAGCATGTAGTTACACATTTTCTCCACTAGAGGGCATTCCAACATTATACATACAGTATATCTTCTCCATGTATATTTTTCTTGGCGTTGTCTTTTGGCGTTGTAGAGTTTCACAACTCACTCAGTGATGGTTGCACGGCTCTGATTCGACACAACCTCTGTGAGGTGTTGGAGGCCACGGGGAGAGAGGTGAGATTCAGCAACAGTAGAAAATAGATGGGGGGGGGGTGAACGATTCCAAGATTCTTATCTTGTGAGATTTTAAATAGATTCTTAACTTCCAAATATTGTTTTTTTGTGCCCAATCAGTCACTCCCTGCTAAGTGCTAAGGCTAGCTCTGTTACTCAGTAGAATGCCAAATGGAGCAGAAAGATATTCAGCCAGTCTCACAGATGACTGGAGTAGATCCTGAAGTATGTACTCATTCAAAATAGACTCTGAATCCAGAATCAAAAATAGATTCTCAATCGAATCGTGAGACACTCAAAGATTCCCAGCCCTAGTAGAGAACACATTGACAACAATACAAAAAACACACTCCCTGGCTTTTTATAAACCATGTCACCATGAACCATGTGGACTGATTTATCCGCTCGGTTTATTGTTTACATGGAGCAGCAGGGCGGAGTCGTGCTGCACTAATGTTGGGCCGAAGGGAAATCCTTTCTAAGTTAAGAAGCTGACAACTATGATCATAAGTAGTTTAACAATCCTGACATCTCTTTTAAAGATTTAATCCTCAGGTCTTTAGCAAGGATTTGTATCCTTAAGCTCTTAACGTCTTATTTCTCTACTTCTTCCTTTTTTTTATGAATAAGTACATCTGCTGAGATGCTGAACATATGTTGTATAGTGTCTGACTTAGAGCCTCATTATCAAAATCACTGAGAGATGGTCTGACTTTTGTTGTCAATGGCAACCGGCTGATGGGGGATCGATTCAAACTGGGAGAAGATGATGGGCCAAATTCACTCCCAGTTCAGATTTTTTTGCTTCTTTGTAGTGATTGATTGTTGTTTAATAATTTTTTATATAACTGACTCTTTGAATCAACACATGAAGCAAAATAAACACCCCTGTAAAATCCACGATTGTATCCTACCGGGCCTGAGCAAGCTTGCCCCCCTCTCCTCTCCTTCCCCGGTGTACGTTCACATCAGTAACATCATTCTGTGATGTACACTTCATCTGTAAATCAGGTGGCAGTATGCATCATGCTAACTGTGGATGTTTTAGTTATTTCTGAAACGCCAACAACAACCCTCCTACTACTACCACTAGGATGAAACGAGCCCGTGCTGCACTTTTACAACAGATTTGAAGCGACAGGAGCCGTTAAGAATTACGTCATGTAACGGTCCACTTCCTTGTTTGAGTACTGTTGCGTTCACATCTCCTGTGGACCGTACTCGAGTACACATGAATCGAGCTAGAGACCACTTCTTCAAGTGGAGTCGGGCACAGTACCTGAGTACGGTAGGAGTATGGTTTGTTTGGGTTCACACTGATCAAATTAACCGGGCTTTAGGGGTCAAGGGTATTTGGATCCGGGCCCCGGGTCCCTAGTGTGAACCACCCTTACTGTGTAAGCTGTAAGAAATGATTCAGGGAGTCAATGACAGGTGTGATAAGAGTCATGGGTATGGCTACAGTGGGGAACATCAGTGTTCATGTTGAAGACAGACTGAAGGTCCCACTGATGTTGTACAGTCTGATGGTGGTGAGGTGTTAGCTGAAGGAGCTCATCATGAGAAGAGGCTAGCTTGTTGAACATATCAGGATATTCACACTAGCCATTTGAATGTTGTTTTATGATTAACCTGATCTCACATTATCTAGCTGTGATGAGGGAAGTATGCCCGAGTTCTTATCCTAAAAGATACCTGAAACTTGAAGCATTTGAACAGTTCATAATGACACAACACATAATTCTTTTTCGTCATGCTGTAAATCTGTTTCCCCCCTCTCCGTGGCGTTCACTGTCTCTCCAGCTCCTCTGTAGAGTCGGGATGATTCCTCTTGATAGAAAGTATGAGAAGGATTAGTCAAACCTCAGTACGCATATTGAATCACCCTTCGACTTGATCTGCTCTCACTCTGCTGCACACCCTCTCTCTCCTTTTTCTTTCTCTTATTTGATAATATTCTCTCTTCCAGGTGCTCCCTCTGTGGCTACGTGTGCAGTCATCCCCCCTCGCTCAAATCCCACATGTGGAAGCACGCCGGAGACCAAAACTACAACTACGAGCAGGTTAACAAAGCCATCAACGAGGCCATCTCCCAGAGCAGCAGGTGAATACACGGGCTCGAGTGGGCTGGTATCCTACTGTGAGAGCCTTTCTGCCTTTATTTCTTAATTCCAAATATCTACATCTATCGTCATCAAATGTCCAGGACAAGGCTTTGTTGAATGTACCGCCTTACCTACGAAGGCTTTGAGGTTTGAATAGATGTGTAGATGACGCTGCATTGTTCTCTTCATGTTGAACATTGCTGTTGTTTTCTTTACGTATGCTGCACCCTGCCAAATAAACCAATAAATAAACGTCTCTGACAGTAGGAGCTCAAACTATTAGCATCACCATTTGTAGCCTGAAGTGTCTCAAATGATCAAACATTGGTTGTCAATGAAAATCTGAGCCCCAGCAGCACCTTCAAGGAAAAAAAAGTTTTGCTTTCAAAGTGAATGAACGTTTTCTTTTATAGTTTTCTTTGATAAAATCTGAACAGAAAATGTCAAATACTTGTTCTTACCAAAATACTTTTATATCAATATAAATTTCTCAGTAATGTTTTAACATGACTTCATTTTTAATATGTGCACATCTAATTTTGACATCCTCAGATCAGACAGAGCCCCCCCCCCCCCCAACAGGTGCCCGACCCCCAGGTTGGAAACTAATGCATTAGGGCACAAGTTGTTGTGTTTCAAATTGCTCGAATACAACAAAGCCAAAACAAAAATAATTCATTTAAAATAATTCTGAGAGCTGGCTGCAGCGTTAAAGGTGATTACTGAGATAATAGCTGAAGGATTATATTCATGCTGTAGTTGCTTCAACTAAACAACGAGCCCAGAATCCAAATCGTTACATCAGTGTGATAGTTCAAGAAAAGTTTTCTGAAATCCGTTTTTTGCTTTGTTATAATTCTGCATTCTGTGTGAAGGGGACAAATAAATGATACAATTAAGAATGGCTTTTCAAATCTAAAGTAAAAGTGCATTTCAACAATGCTTAGATGTTTGATTGAACGTACCACTGTTGGTGTTCTTGTCTTCTGTATGCTTTTTCTCTTCATTTAATAATAAATATAACTTCAATATGAATTGAATATAACATTAGCTGACTGTCATCATCCTGCGTTTCATTTCTTAAGATAATATGAAAACGTTTGATCTGTTCTCTCAGCATGAGGCCAAAACTTAGTGGCTTTCTTTTAAATATTTACTGCATCACAGATATGATACATTTGGGATTTACTAAGCTGTGTTATTCATTGAATGTAGCCTCAAAAAGATGGCAACAAGAAAAAGACAGGAAACGGACTAATGAAAATATTTTCATTGTGCCAGCAATGCTTCAAGAGTGGCATGTAAAATGTGCTCATTTCCTTTGAGTACTCATTCTTCTATTCTTCCCTCAGAGCTCCTCAGAAGTTGTCTGCCGTGCTGGAGACGGTGGCAGAGCGCCCCGCGGCGGTCCAGCCCTCAAAGGACAAAGCAAAGGGCCCGGTGGAAACACTGCCAACACCCGCATCCACAGCAGCAGTCAGCCTGGCTGCGGACAGCTCGGCAGGCCTCCCCACCCCCAACACGGACCCCTCACAGTGGTCTAATGACTCCCCCAGCCCCCAGGGGAAGGACCCTGCACAGCTCCAGTCTCAGTCCCAGAGCCAGCCACGCACCGGACAGACCGCTGCCCCCGGCCCGGTTATGGAGTACTGTGTGCTCCTGTTCTGCTGCTGTATCTGCGGCTTTGAGTCCACCAGTAAAGAGCGTCTGATGGAGCACATGAAGGAGCACGAGGGAGACATCATCAGCATCATCCTCAACAAGGAGCAGCAGCAGCAGCAGCAGCCAGAAGGCCAGACCGGCCTCCAAACAGCAGAGTGAGAGCTGCTCTATCTCCCTCTCTTTGTATTAACACTGACCCTGCGCTCTCACTGCGATCTGCTGCAAACAGAACAAGAAGTATTTCATTAAGTTTCTTTACCTCAAGGTGGCTCTGGTGGATGTCAAGGTCTAACCATTTCATGTCCACCGCGTCGTTAAAGCTATCTCTCACAATGTTCCGTTAAGTCTGACAGATACCTTGAACCGGGAAGGAAAACAATTATGAAATGATTTCCTGAGTAGCATATAGAAAAGAAACGTTCAGAAGCCGTTAAAGTTAAGTTGTCGAACACTTTGACATTAAAAAGACTCAGAATGTGTCCGACATTAAGGGACGAGGACGAGCTCTATACCAAGTTTGATTTTTCACTAGCCAGGACAAGTTCATACCTCAAGAAACCATGCAATCCCACAGCAGAGATGGGAAAAGAAAAGTTAGATGCATGTTCCAGCCTAAGGGCCTGTGTTCACAGACGGCCACAACCTCCTTTTCAGAGCGCTTCTCACAAGCACTTGATGTCCGTTAGGTGTGGTTTAGTAAGCTCCATGTGCTTAGTCTTTACTTTAAATCAAGGAAAACATGAAAACGATGTGAAGGAGTTGTGTCCTGATATCTGGGATTTGTCCCCTCGGCTCATCAGCTTTGTCAACAACGGAGGAGGAGACGCTAGTCCATTGTTGTTGACAAAGCTAAAATCAGAAGTCCCGCCCCTTCTTGGTTCTGATTGGTGAGGGAGAAGTGACATTGACGAGCGTCTCGCTGTTCTAAAAGTTAAACTGTTTTTAACCGAGACAAAAACAAACAGCCGAGGGCGTTTCATTCGATTTGTTTAAAAACAAGGACAACAAGCACCGTCTGTGGACACAGGCCCCGATTCATTTATCGACCACGAGGCAGCTGTTTTTATTTCTACTGTATTATTTAATATATTTAATCTGACACAGTTGAGGCTCTGGCCCAGTTTAAGGGGGTACATATGTCTAAAGGCATGAACCGCAGCTTGAATATGATTTAATATTTATCAGTTGATTATTATGCATGTTAGTTTCTGTTGTGCCAATTTAAAGAGGCTATTGTAAAGTAGTTATTTTTATTTTTGTTTGAATGTTTCAAGTTTGTATTTCTTTCCAGATGGTTTATAAAATAGTGTCTTTGGGGAGAGAAATGTCTAAAAGTGACCAGAGTAAAGTAGACTGACCCGGCACGTGGACAAACGGAATGATACAAAAGGGAAGTTAGCAAAGGTAGGGCTTATTTTTGTATTGGTAGGCGTATGATGTGTTTAATCAGGCACGACTGTGTTCACCTGTGGTTGTGGTGCTACGCTCACTTCAAAAGTTATTACTGAAGGAAAAGATTGTTTTTTTTTTTTTTTACAGCCCAGGCCATTTCTGATGTATATAATAACATTTTTATAACCTTTACTGTCATTTTTCAGTGTTTTTAAAATACAACTTTTTCTAGTGTCAAATAAAAACTTGAGGTGACGACGTGTGTGAGCCGACTCGAGGCTGAAGAAAGACGAGACAGATGTCGTAATAAAGCTGAGGTGCGAAGCTCCTCTGGTGACTGAGTGGAAGAAAGAGTGTCTAATACTGACTGCTTTTGAAGAAGGAAAGTGTCGGAGCTATTTTTCATACAATAAATAAAAAATGTAACCCTTCAATGTCGATCATTCTGACTCCTGGATAACACGTTTATTCACCCTCCAGGTAGAAACACATCCATTAGCATCTCCCCGCACAAACGGCCCAGTTCAAGGTTTACATCCAGAACATATTGTACCCTAAAGAACAAAGTAGAGGAGAAGAACAGTTACAATCTCTGCTCTTTAAGTCTTCAGTTGTCATTTAAAGCTGAAGCTGCCACGTGCCAAAGAGGTTCCAGGTTGGCAAATACTGATTGTTACTGACTGGTTTTCAAGTCATTTTAAAGGTCACATATTCTCCTCCTCTTCTTCAGTTTAAATAAGTCTCTGAGCTCCTCGAAACATGTGTGTGAAGTTTCTTGTTCTAAATCCACTCTGATCCTGTATTTGATCATGTCTATAAACCCCTCTATTTCAGCCCTGCTCAGAACAGGCTGTTTCTGCCCTCTGTGATGTCATGAAGGGAAAATCTCCAAACAGCCTGTTTGAGCACACATTTTCTGAAAAGTGGAGCAGGCAGAAGACAGAGAGGATAGACTTTTCTCATCATTGGGGGGTTTGTAGACGGACTAGAGACACACGTGTTAGAGAATTACATGAAGAGTATTTGGCAGGATATGTGACCTTTAAAGATATATTTTTGGGCCATTTCTGCCTTTGTTGGATAGGACAGCTGTAGAGGGAAAGGAAATGTTTGGGGAAGAGATTAGGGGAAGCTGCGACGAGGACTATAGCCTCTGTACATAGTGTGTGCGACTTAACTGTTAGGCTATACGGCGCTCCTTTAAAGTCATTGTAGTGTTTTTTATAAAGATTCAGAGGTTTATGTCTCTTATAATCCAACAGAGAGCAGAGTGGGTGACAGGGGAGGTGACACTCTCTAAATTAGATTTTATTTTAGACAGTGTGCAAAAGTTCACTTGCAATTTTTGGTCATTGAAAACCAAGAACTTCTTTCTTTGTCGCCGTGGCCTCAAAACAGGTTTGTTATCGTTGATTTGTATTAATGTTTAAAACTTGTGTTTCGAGACAACCCTCCAAAATGTCGCTCTCATTTTAACGTTGGCTCATGAAAAGGTGACATTATTCAGGACAAACATTATAAAGTTAGACTTTAGACTTTATTGTCCCCGAGGGGAAATTATTTTTCACAGCACCGTTACTTTCCAACAGATAAGTCGCACCAAAGAACATTAATACACAGAAAGCTTTAGAGTTAAATATTCCTGTTTCTTACAGAAAATACAGACTTGACTGACCCGTGGAGGCTGCATTAAAAGTGTTAAAATGATCTGAAAATGAAACCTTGATAAGGATGAGGTTGAGGGAAATGGATTCAATTAAACCAACCTGCCCGTGTATATAAACTCATGCAGTCCTGTCATGCCGTCACTTTCTTTCAGACGCTGAAGAAACTAAAGATAAAATGAAATATCCATAATTCATGCCCCCCTCTCTCCCCGTGTGAGGTGTAGTGGGTGAAACAAAATTCAATCTCTATCTCAAAGACTCATTATACCCGTCCTGTGAATTCTCATTATCAGAGCAGGTAATTATCCTCTGGCTTCCAATTTAAAATTCTACGAGTCAGAATTAAAGAAACGCTTACATGTCTGTGCCAACAGAAGTAAAGAAAGGTGAGACTCCAGAGGCCTTCCTGTCTGAGAACCAGCACTCCTGTTAATGAGCTGTGACCACACACACACCTCAGCTCTCCTCTTCATGTGGAGATCTTCCAATAATCGGAATATTTGTTATAATTCAACTACCAAACTGGTTCTTTTTAAGCGCTCCCTGAGAAGTTAACGACCTCTGCTGGTGCTCATTGAGCTGTTTATGTCTGAGTGTCTCTTCTTTTAGTTTATATTTCAGGATAGGCCGTATAAACTACATAACAAAGTTGTCTCCATACCAGAATTTTAAACTTCAGTGTGTTGCTGGTAAAAAATCAAACAATATCGATAACTCTTTGGATATCATGGCAAAAATAATAGAAGTCTTACGCTACCGCTACTGCTGGTTCCGATGACTGATAGCGTCTCAACGCTTTCTATTCATTTCCTATGGAGAGCCGGAGAGGCAGTAGCGCAATGTATTATGGGATCGTGGCGTTGAGTTTCAAGAGGAACTCTGTCGTGCTCGCCGGAGGAGAATAGACCAGAACTCTAATCTATGCAAATGAGTCCAGGGACCGCCTGGACTAGTTTATCCAATCAGCTGCATTCATTTTTCATTTTCATTTCAAACTTGGTTATCAAGAGCGGATGGAGAGGTCCAGGAAAAAAACAGAACCCCCCCCCCCACTTTTAAGTGGATACACGTCCATCAAGCGGTGAGTTGAGTACTCCGGCACAATCCCTAGCTTCCTCACCTGAAGTGTTTGAGCTAAACCATTAGGCATCCCATAGTGTTCAAATCTGAAGTCAAACCATAGACTGTAAATATTAATGGATGAAGCCTGAGTGACTTCACCCATCTGTTACTGCAGGGGGCTCTCGAGGCTCATCAGGACCAGCAGCCATGCTGGATATCTGATTTATAACGGCACTACTGTGTGCTCGTAGGTGAACAGATCAGTGTTGTCCATGGGTGCAAATCTACGTTGTTAATTTTTTTAGTATTTAGTAGTTTGCAGGAGACAGAAACTACAACTCTCAGAATGTTAAACAACACTTTCTTTCTTTTTTTAATATTGTTTTTATTGAATTTAATCTTAAAGATCCAGGGACTGAGTCAACCACAGTGTACAAATATACAACCACCTGAACCCCCATCAGCCCACCAAACCCCGACCCTAACCACACCCTTCTACAATTCTACAAATCACTTAGCAGACGCTTTTATCCAAAGCGACGTACATCAGAGAGTAAGAACAACACAAACAAGGATCTAGAAAAAAGAGAACAATGTCAGTAAGAGCAAACGATCAGCTTTGAGTCTGATTGGACACACAGGTGCTGACAGGAAGTGACCAGAGGCAAAGCACAACATTGAGGGCAGTTCTTGAGAGCTCTAATCAGTATAGAAACCATCTTATAAGTCATCATTATCAAACAAAAACCATCGTCATTACCATCATCATCATCAATAATATGGAGACCATCATCATTAAGTTAGTAGGTATTCATGAAAGAGCTGGGTCTTTAGCTTTTTCTTAAAGGTGCAGAGGGACTCTGCAGATCCAATGGAGTTTGGAAGTTCATTCCACCACCGTGGGGCGACAGAGGAGAAGAGTCTAGTCAGAGACTTAGGACCCTGTTGTGAAGGTTGGATCAGACGCCTTTCATTGGCAGAGCGTAGTGGGCGGGAGGGAGTGTAGACCTGGATGAGAGAGTTTAGCTAAGGAGCTGGTTTCCCCTATTTTTATAAAACATAAATACATGAAAAGGAGATGGCCAAAAACAGCATAGATAACTCTACTAATAATAAATTCAACAAATAAGCAGAATGTGACTCAGTAAACAAAGATCAATGATTCCTTGGAAGGTGTGCATCTCAGAGGTCGTCAATAGTCCCAAAAAAACAAACAGCCTTGAAAGGACTCTCTCCTAACCCACAGGATATTTAAACAAGGTGCGTTATGGTGTCCTATGGACTGCAGTGCGTCCAGCTCCAGCCTTTAGGGTCAGATCAGTACACCTGGCACCCCAACAGCAGGGTAGCAAAAAAGTAGGACGGTACAGATCGGTTATTTTGGAACCATTCCAAACTCTTGACAGTAGAAGCGCCAATAGTGTACTGTACTGAACCGGACTGCTTGGTGGAAACTTGACTAAAGGGATACTGCCCTTTCTGTTAACTACATTACCCAGTAATCAGCTCAGACACAGGTACACATGTGTTTGAAGTGTGTACATATGAACCTAAACACTGAGGAAAGGAAGGAAATCTATTTTTAATAATCTTGTAATAAAACATTAAAAGAATAAATAGTTTTGATCAAATTGAGGCGTTGATCTTATTTATTCCCAATGTTTTTTGACCGTTTGAAGCTAAACAAACCTGAACGAGCTGTTTGCATTGAAACCAAAGGAGGAGGAGAATAATAACTCGTCTGTTCTGATCAGAGCGCTTTGCATCTTTTTTCTGTCTTTCTGAGGTTCAACGTGAAATTGTGTCAGACACGATTTTGATGCTTGCTTTATGTTTATTTATTTTTAGATTAACATTATGTCACATCAGTGTATTTTTGGTAATAAAGACCGAGGAATAAAACGACGGCTTCTTGTCTCTGTTTTTTGTTGTGTGAGATTAAAGTGTGCCTCTAAAAGTTTTAAAGCTGTCGTCAAATATTTCACTGGAAACTGGAAAAAATATAAATGCAACCATAGATACTTTTAGCATCTTAAGACTAAGTGTAAGAAAAAAATTTGTTTGTATTTTGACCCCAACAAAATCTGTTCTTACAGCACTCAATACACATCTTTTTAAATGTTGTAATCCATGGATTCCTTTTCTTCTTTCATGCAAAGCCACTTTGTTCCCTACCTGCCTCATCCTGCCTCTGAGGAAAGCGCATTAGCGTTGGAGGAGGACATGCAGCAATCAGCCTCGAGGTACGTTGTTTAAAACCCCTTACAAGCAGAGAAAGTGTTAAAGCAAGCTTTCCCGACCCCACGGTATTCAAATCGGATCGCAAAACCCATAAAATTACCTGAAAATTGTATTTATTGATCAGTTAAAATATATTGAACACAGACTACTGCGAGCAATTTCTTGCCAAAACAAGAAACTTGCAGAGTCTCTGTCTTTCTGTCATCCACTGAGCAGAAACGTCATCCCAGCTTTTCTTCCAAGAAAAAGTCTAAATGTGCTCTAAAACAAATGTTTACCTGAGACACAAAAGAACAACTTTCACATGATAGAAAACAAATCAATTTTAGCTCAAAGCTGTACAGCATGTGTTTTGACTCTCTGGGGTCAGCAGAGTTATGTGAAGCCAAACTGGGGGTCACGAGCCAAAAAAGTTTGGAAAGCACTGGGTTAAAGGGATAGTTAGGTATACTTGAAGTAGGGTT